CAGTTTAACACCCATCCCATGGAAGCCTGCCAGGTCTGACCCCAAGCCAAGGCGTCCCGGCAGGCGGGTGGGTTGGCAGGTCCCTAAGTTAGCTTCAGAATCTGGAGGATTTTCGCTAGGGCGCAGTTACGGTCCTATGGCTTTTTAAAACCAAGAGGTTTGAAACTCACTTTGCAGGCGGCCAAAAGGCGTGGGCTGGGCAAAACTTGTTGAAGCGAGCATCTTTGCAGCTCACTCCCTGGCTTCTTGGACTTTAGTCACTTTTTTGGGTCTCTGTCAGGAAGCAGGGGAAAGAGAAGCCAGAAGGAGTAGTATAATAGCGGCCGCCTCAGGGCCTAGCTTTGGATTGCAACCAAGAAAGCAATGGTCCAGGTATATACGCATGGGATTTGGTCAAGCATTCCGGCACACGTGCCGTTGGAGAGGGTTGGTTGTTGAAGGGTTCCCGTCTACCTGCAACATGCCTTGAACTTGATGTATTTATAGGCTTCTAGTTGGGATTGGATAATTTACTTTTGGGTCTGCTCAAATCGGCCTTTTTTCAGAGGACCTTTTGTGGGGTTCATTTGAGGTCAATAGGAAACTGAATATCCATATTGAGGGGTCACTGTCACCCCGCTCCCCAATCGTTCGACGTGTTCATAACCACTGGGAAATCAATGGCATCCAAACCTCTAAGGTTTATCATGTTTATCCTCGAAACAGCGCACTTCCCCGGTGTGCACAGAAGGAAGTCGAGCTTAGAAAGCCTTACGCAGACTGGAAATCGGATGAACCCATCAGCCCCCAATTCATTCGCCACATCTTCGGTGCTTGGCTGAAGCTTTCGGCAGGCGGCCTCCGGCGCCGGTGGCCGAGTGGGACTCCAGCGAGGCTGTCTCAGAACCGGGCCTCACTTCCAAGCAGTTTCTGGACTGAGTCTGGGGATTCATCATGGTTGTGTTTGCGTTCTCCAATACTTAATGGAATCGCCCCAAACAACTGGTTCCTTTTCATGTTCTACCTTGCTGGTCACTGGTTGCAACTGGGACGGTCGCGACCAGCAACCAAGCGCAGATGCAGGGCGCGCCCCTTGCCGAGCCTCAGCGGCCTGCTTTGCGCGCATGGCCCCAGCGAGAATCAGCTGGGAGAAGTCTAGATAGTTCTGGCATGCCCGATTGTAGAATTGACCGCCACTAGAGGGATCAAGAGGTTGTGTATAACACCGTCAACTACTTGTTGTAGTTCTGGGACAAGAGGGACAATCGTGGAACCTAGTTGTGTCCCCTTTTGCGGCTCCCTAAGGTGAATTGGCCGAGCTGATGCGTTGGGGGTCGCTCTGAATGATCTGTCGCCCTGTCCCTTCGCAAGCTGGAGAGAATACAAGCAACACCTGGAAATGGCGCCATATGGTGCTATGCAACCGAATTACTTCATGAGATTCTCCAGGAAGTTAGCCGAGCTCCCTGGAGAAAGGGGTAACCTTAATTAAGGAGTATGGTCGCAGGGCTTGGTGGTTCACGCGTCGCTGACAGCACCTTCCCACTCTTGTCGCTGCGCCACGTGCGTGGAGTGAGTTGGGTCTGGTACCATCATCATGGTCGCGAAAACTGAGCCAAAAGCCAACTTTGGAGTGTGACTTTGGAGGGGGGACCCTTGTCAGGTTGGCTTAAAAGCAGAGCAAACCTGAGGACCACTTGGGGGTTCTCCTATTTTGACATAGAGAGATGGAGTAGCCAGTTTGGTGTTGGAGAAACGGGGGTTTCTGGACCTCAGAGCCCAAGGTTTGATGAAGTGGAAGGGCAATGCTGAGGACCCGGCCTTTTCTTTCCTCGCTCGCCAGTGATTTGTTCGGCTGCGGCTGATCCCAGCGGAGTTGTGGCAAGATGCGGGTTTCCATGTCATTTGTTTCTTCTGCTACCGGGAAAAGGGATGACCGGCAATTCTTGGGTGATAAACACACGCAAAAATCGGCGGTTACCATGTGGACCAAGGGCAACCTTCCAAATGTCCCTTGAAAGTCGGCCCACGATGGAAAACTTTGTTCTTTTCTGTGATGCCAAAGTAAAGTGGGATTGCCATCGCCATGACATAATTAGTTGGGGCTCCCTTGTCACAGATTACTCCATATATCACTTTAAAGGGGCAGCCCACTTGAATTGGAAAGCGGTTCCCACTGGCAGGAGGCTCCCAGGGCTCGGCCCTCCATTCCGCGGCCGAAGCCGAGAGCAAAGGAGTGACAGCCCGCCTTTCGGTCATTCGGCATCTAGCTGCCTGCGAGTGCGGAAACTTACCGCTGGACCCCTCACTATACTATGCGCCGCGTTGTCCAAATGTTCTCACTTGCAAGCGCGAATCGACCAGAAGTGTTTAAATCAGGATCTTCAGCTTCAGGTGTTTTTGCTCATTTTCCAGGTTCTGGAGTTGTACATTCTGGCAACAAACAGTGTATAGACTTGTTTTGGCCAACCGGCTCAGTCAGGCAACCCGTGGTTTGCGGTTTTGATGGGTGGCTTGGATCTGGAATTTGAACCCTGTTCTTGTAGAGGGTAAATGGGAACGCCCCCCCCCATTTCAGTTCCAAATCACAAATCCAAACCACCAACAAGAGGGAAGCCGAAACTAAATCTGAGGCAGTCGAGAAAACAGTGTTTTAAGCTGTACTTCCCATCGCTTCCCATTCGTTTGGTTTCAGAAACGCTTCTTTTCAGGGTGCGCAAGCCAGGGGAGTGTATATGGTACACAAAAAAGGAGGACAAGCCTTAGAGGTTTGGGTGTGGCTGGGAGCATAAATGGGAATCCACCCGCTTTGCACGTCCATACCACCCATCCAAACCAGGAAGCTGACTTGGGAACGGGAAGGGGGGGGTGCGAGGTCAATGATGAAGATATTTCACAGAGATCCCAGATTTTTGATGGGTGAATGATCATCTGCCGGGAGGTTGGCGGAATAACATGCAGAGCTTCACCTTGGGTAAGATTGCAGAACCGAGGCGCCAAGGTGCTGAAAGGAAGCTGACTAGTTGACTGCGCAGGAGTGGAACTCGGAGATCGCCCAGCCGCTGAGCCGCTCAGCGAGATCTATTTGGCGAGTGAGTAACTTTCGGCCGGCACATCCCCAATTGAGGCCCAGTTTTGTTGCTGGTGCGATAGGAAATGAGAAATGGAATGAACCCAGGGTCCCCTGAAAGGAAACCATAGGGCTATAGGAGATCGTTTTTATGAGAGATATTCCCTCATTTTTCGAGAAGTATTGGTAAGTCATTGTTTTCCCCCAGCAATTGTGCTTGGGCGGTCCCCGATCGCACGGCCAAGGTTCTGAAGTGGACCCTCCTGCGCGGGAGGAGCGGAGACGGTGCCCTTTTCGGATTAGTGAGTTACCACACCGAAAGGGCCACCATTCAAGGGGATCCGAAAGCACAAAGCTAACAGAATGGGTTTGACGGTTGACCTCATGAGTTCCAGAACTTTGAACATTTTAGGGGGAAACGTTTAGTAAACAAGAAGTTCAGACTTGTTCCAACCAATCCACTCGCGAAGTGACAATAAGCCTCGAGCTGACCGATCCCGGCCGGGGGGTTAAACAAGTGAAAGCCGATGATGGTTCCTGACTTCAGGATTCCTCATTATCGGCTCTATGACTGCATGTTTACCCAGGCCCCTGGTCAATCACAAAGGGGTTGTTCCATTTTCGAGCCATTCCAATTTCTTTTTGGGGCCGCAAGGTTCATCAATGCCGGGTCAATATGCTTTCGTTTGGGTACGTGTCCAATTGAGTACTCGGGAGCTTGACCCTTAGGATGGAAGGGAATTTTAGCGAGGGATACATGGATGGATTGTGCGTTTCATTTTGTATACAAGAATAGCTGCTGGTAACTTAGCCCGATTTATAGGTCCACTCGATGGATGTCCCGACATCCTTGAACTGGAAGGGTCGTTGCTTCGCTTCTCAGTGGCTAAGTTACCTCATGTTCTCACCTCACATGGGAACATGTTCAGGCCCTTGCAGCGGAACCTGGGGAGGCTGTGAAGTCAACGGTTTGACCATGTTTCAACCTGTCACCTTTGCAAGACCTAGGCTCACTCCCTGAGCATTTGGACTGTTATAAGACTTCCGACCATTTGAGTGATAAGCAAAGGTTTAGACTTGTTCATCTCCCAACCTCGGGAAGTGAGTGGCGGTAGGGAACCTCTGATGGCTTCTTGGGTGTGGTCAATGAGCAGCTCCCGTGGCCCTTTCACATCGCCAGAACCGCACTACCCGACTGGATCAGACCAGACCGCGGGTTGCTCGCAGGGAGCCCCGTACGAGAACAGATTTGAGCCTCTCAAAAGAGGAGACGTGATGGCACCTGTTTTTGTTTAGTCCATTCAGGGTAGGCTTCCTAGAAGTTTCGGAGTATGGTTTTTGTCCATGTTCAGAAAGGCAATCATTCGACCGTGGCTCGCCCAGATAGCTAACAGTGTATGTTTATGTCTATAGGTTTTGCATGTTTTTTTTTCTGATGAACTACCGGATCCCTTGATTGCACATGCATTTTATGTATTACATGCATGCAAGTGGTAGAGCATCCTTAGCTTTGCGAGCAGGGATGCGTGAGCTGATCCAACGCAGCTGTGGCTCAAGATATGTGTGTGTGTGCTTTTGTAAGGACACCTTTTTGGGGAAGGAAAGGGAAGTCAAAATAACAACCACCAATTGTTGGGTCCGCCTCCTATTGACACCCCAGAGAAATGGTTGCACAAGAACACCATTTCGGGAACGCGGTTGGCGCAAAAGGACATGTGCACACTTCTTGACTCGGACACTGGTTTGTTTGGGAAAGCGTTTTGGCGTTTTGATCACTTACCTAATCAGGTTCCAACATGGAATCGTTTGAATAGCAATGCCTTTGTGACGCAACTCTGTCGCGCAGGAGTCAACTCAAGTTGTCCTTGGGCAGTTAACCAGCAGACATTGCCATTTGGAAAATGCTGAATCAGTTTACTTATGGCGGTGTCACTGCTACTTGACTTAGCATAGGGAACCCTGGATGCCGTTCTTGCATAGGTAGGCGTAGCCGGTAAAAGCGCCATGACAGCTGAGAGGCGCGGTTTTTGCTTTCAGGGTCACCGGGCTTGGTGTAATTGGGGCACGGTATCAGACTGTATCTGTATAATTTCGTTTAGGGCAAACCCTTCTTGCTGACATCACACGCTGTTGGCATGACATGACCTTCTGTGAGAAAAGCCATGGCATGCCGAAGTGGTATGAGATGCGCTTCCATGAATCGCGAAACGGGGAAACAATCATAGTTCCCTAGACCTGCTGGTGCTCAGTCGGGAATGACCTTCCAGGTGTTGGGAATACACCTAGGGATTCTCTGAAAGGAAACCACAAGGAATTGTTTATAGGGGGTCATTCCCTCATTCCTGCTTGTCGCACCAACAATCAAATGTAGTTGGTTTCCCTGTGACGTCTCTTGAAACGGCCCTCTTCAAGCGCTGCAAGACGCCTTGCCCACGAGACTGGTTCTCCAAGGCCTTCCTTGGCATGGTGGAACCACCCCCTTCCAACCCGGATTTATCAAGTTCATACCCAAGATGGGTTTGGAGATATGTTTTGAAAAACTGCCTCAGGCAATGGGGCATCCAAATTCCACAGTGAATTTGCATGCGGAAAACTGGGCACCCTGTCACACGGCTGTTCTTTGGTGTGACGCAATTGCCGCTTGGACCTTTTGGAAAATTGTTTTTCCATTGAACCTACCAAGAGGTCTAACATCCAACGACCTTTTGCTCCTCTCTGTGGAGAAGGCTGGTTTCGGTTGCCACTTTCTGTGATACTATGGGAATCCAATCGAAGTGACACAGCAGTTCGCCTTGGGAATGCCCCATTTGTTTGCCATGACAAGGCTGATTTCCCACAGCCGCGTGTCATTCACCCGGTGAAGCACAACGCGCAGGCCCATCGAGCTAGAGGACATCGATGTACTTTGGGCGGAGCTCAAGGATCTCCGCGAGGCGCGGCATGGGAAGTCAACATTACCAAAAGGAAGGAGGATGGGTTCGTCCAGACCCCCCCCCCCAAACAAAAAAAAGTCAAGGAAAGTTGTTGACACTGACTTCTTGGGGCTGCACTTTTGGGCAAGAGGCTTTTACCCCGAAGCCTCCAACGGAACATGGCGCATAGAGTTGGACAGCTGCGTTTGGGCAGTTGGTGTGGCTGTTCACACCATTTGGCAGGAGTGCAGCCGACTGGATGGCGAGCTCAGGAGCACAAAAGGGTGAGCGGCAAGGCGTGCTTGGTGAGCCGCAATCAAACCCTGTCTAAAACCAAGCTTATGCACCCCTACTTGTACAATTTAAGGCCCAACGCCAAACTGTTGAACTGATGAGGCTTCGATTAGGGTTGGCTTGGGCCAACATGAAAAGTTTAAAGTTTAGATGTGTAAATCCCTGGAATTTGAAACAGGCGAAGATTTGTAGGGGGACAGTCGCCAGAAATAGGAGCGGATACCCGCCGATTTAGTAGCATGTCTAGGTTGGTACCGTGCACTTTTAAGGATCCGCCTGTTGAGTGGCATCCTTTTTCTATTTGTGATTTGATTGTAGTTTGTTTTTGTGTAGCTGGGTCTCACCAAAGTCGGTCAACACCCAGAAATCCTTGTTTCTACCGAACGGGTCACTGACCAACTTCGGAGAAGCCACGGTTGAATTTATCACGTGAGACAATGGAGCCTTGCTGGGCTTAACCCAGTCACATAGGGCCCTCCCGGCATCACATGCAAGCCACATGTGCACATGCATGTAGTGTGAGTTTTGGCTGCGATACTCAAAATGTTACAAGTCAAAAAATTTAACATGGAACCTGACAGGGGGTCCGTTTAAAAGGAACATGGTCTTCCAGAGCACCCCTTGTCAGGTTCGATGTTAACTGGTGGGAGAGTACAAATGGCTGGTTGAGTATGGTTGGTTCGCCTGCTCTCAGGGCATCCAGTTGCAACGCCGCAGTCGAAGGAGTCAGCACCGGCAGCTGGCAGCGGCGCAAAGCCGTCAGGAAGAGCTGAGGAAGAAGATTCAGAAGCGCGCCTCGATGCCTTGAGCGTGTGCGCGGTGTGGACATGGCCAGATGTTTTCATGAGCCGTATGGAGGATATGGGCAGTACGGGAGCAACATCGGCAGTATGGGCAATAGAGGGGATTGGGGGATATGGGCTGGGGCATGCTGGGGCGAAAAAACAAGCCCATTGACTTTCGGCTAAAACGAAACTAAGGGAAGGACATAAGCAACTTCTGGGTGGGTGCGGGTTTTGCAGGAAACCCAGTTTGTATTTGGATCTTGCCTGTGAATTTGGGGAAGGTATTGGTCTGGCCAGCTCCGAGGTGAAGCCGCTAGTCGGGAGATCTCGCAGCAGCTGGGCTGTGAAGAGCAGGCAGCTTGATTTCGGATTTGGTGTGCAGCTCCCTTCCGCAGCCTAAGATGGAAGTCAGGTAGCCCTTAAACTCTGTGAAGAGATCAAGGTCTCTAGCTTTCGCGTACTGAGGGAGGGTATTCCTGGGATGGCTCGATTCCAGGGCAGTTCCTTGTCAGATGGCGCAGCGGTTGCAGAACACACAAAGAAAGGTCCACAATTTGGAGCCCCGATTCCCTCGTTTTGCCCTTACGGGTGTCCTCAACACGCATCCCCTAGCGTGGTGCTTTGGGTTGGCTGTCAGAGGGGTGCCCCCCACTGGGTAAACCAATGCACACCAATCAAGGGTGACCAAGCCTTTTAGTTGCTTCGTTGGGCCTGGTTTTGCGATGCTTATTGTTGATCTTGGCAGCCAGACGATCTGCGCAATGACTAGCCTCATTGGCTCAATGGCTACATGGCCTCACTTATTTGTTTGCCTTTTAGCGTGCCCTGTTTGGTCCATTTTCAGTCATGGCGCAAGCTTATTTGGGTCCTTTGGGCATCTGAGTAGCATGAGATTGTTCCGGAAAGCCAACATTGCCTTTGTCCAGTGAAAGGAGGAGTCTTGAAGGATGTCCTCCTCCCGAATTCGGCCGCGGGGAGACGGCCTCTCACGGCTTGCCTGGGCCAGGATGTTTTGGAGCTCGCGCGATGGAGGCGACAAGCAAAAGAACAGGCCGGAATGCCAGAGCAACCCGCAGAGGTTCTTCAGGGGCGTTGCAACCCAAAATGTCAAACTGGCTTGTTCAGAGTCCATCCGCAATACTGTTACGTATAGCAGATGGTGTTTATTTTGGTTGTAGTGAATAACCCGGTCCCAGGATACTCCCGAATTCCAGGCCCAATTAATAAAGTGCCCGTTGATGTTGCACGGGGGCTGCAAATCGTCCTTGAAACACCACGCTATGATCCCCTTAACGACCCATTCATGAGTGGGTTGCTCAGACCGCTGGATATAGGCCTTGCATTGGGCAGGACTCCGTGGGTTGTTTGAGTGCAACCTGCCCGGGAAAACCTGGTACGACTATATATAATTAATAGGGGCATAACTGCACCAACAAATCCTCCACTTGTATTTCCTACAAGTTCGGAGGGGACCAGGTTGATCAGATCTTGCAACGTACTCCTTTCAATAATTGCTGATGTCAGTACGGCGGGCTACCCGTGTCGTTTCCCGCATGTGTGCAGGATTTTGACTGGGCGGTTTACGGCATTACCTTTTCAGCTCAAGCAGCTTCACTCGCAGGCAGAGGAGCAAGTTTACAAACTACGGGCTGTTACGTGTTGCCAAAAGTATGGCCGGTTCCTTTCTTTAAAGGGACCCTAACGCCTGCTGCCTTTCATTTGGGATCCCCAGGTGCTTTCTTGAGGCTATCCTGTCGCTTGGCTTATGGGAAGCCAAGAGAAAAACACATTTTTTCGTGCTGGTTTGACTTGAGCGCAGGCCAAACAAGCCCAACAGCTGCAGCAAGGCATCGAGCGTCTTGGTGGCAGATTGCCGCATCCTCGTCAGAAGTGCGTCCTTTTGGGTTTTCCGGGTATCAAAAACAACTCTAAACCACCAATCGAACGCCCCAGTTTCTGGGAGGAAGCTGAGATAAAGGGAATCAAGAGCCGGGGCTTGACCCACGGCTTCCAAGTTCGGGGCGGAAATGTGTCTTGCAATCCCTTGAGATTTGTCCATGGTATGATTTGCAACTGACTTGTCCAAAACCAAGCTTTCAAGTATTTGTATGTATTTGTCATTTCTATGTTGTTGTGTATTTCCGTGTAGCAAAACAGAAGTCTAAAGTTTTGCAAGCCCTGCGATTTGAGCCAGTGGGGCAATCACAGTGTGCTGAGAAAGACATCATCCACACAAACTGCACTTGAGCTGACACACCCATTGGACTTTTCCGATGTTGCGGCGCTGGCCTGCCACCTAAGAGTTTACAAATCACAGGCATGCCCCGTATTCTTCATGCGTTCGAGGCGGTTGAAACTTGTTTTGCTGAAATACATAAATACACGGACCCTCTAACGGTTTTCTGTGAGTCCTCCAATTTTGCAGCAAACACAACCTCCTAGGAAATGCACACCTCAGGTTTCCAGATGTGTTCGTCCCCGCAGCCTCAAAACAAGCAACGCCCGCGCTACATCGCCGAAGATCGCCAAGCAAAGTTTCTTATTTGCCCACACCAAAGGGTGATACTGTGGATGGATGAAATCCTGCACCACCCGAGAAGCCAGGGCATGATGATTCCCTGTAACTACCAACAATGATTTCTTATGGTTTCAATCTGGCACAATCTGGTGTAGGATTGCGTCCATTCACAGTAGTTCACGTCCGCGACTTTTCCAGGCGCAAATTCGGGGCCCTTTCTGCCTGGGCCCCGGGTCCGACGCCTTGACATCGATCCGAGGGCGGAGTGCCTGGAGAGCGAGGCCACCATCGCGGAGTTGCGGAAGCTCGCCGACAGGAAGGGCCGGCCCAGCAGCGCCAAGGCCCGGCAAGTCTCGCCGTTTTATTTTGTTTTTTTCTTTGTGGGTGTGGCTCCTTTGGTCTGTTTTTTTCTTTTAAGATAGAAACAAAATTACAAATAAAATATTGGTGCTCTTGTTGGTGCGCAATCAAGGGACTCACTTCCCGAGTTCCTGCATAAACACCGCTTTATACCAATCTAAACCACAGTATTACCATATAGTCCACATCACAACAATGTGTACCACATTAAAACCATATAACCAATTTTGTCCGTTTTTGTCCATTTCAGAACCAACCGCCAATGGGTTTGCCCGGACCATTTCCCTGTGGGGGGGCCTTCGGCTCAGGGCTTGGAGGCAGAGGAGACGCGGCGCCGGCGCGAGGACTTGGATCTCAGGTGCGCGCGCCTGCAGCTGCTGCGGGACCCGCGCGAGCTCGCGAGCTGAGTCGAGTCGAGGGTCTCGGTCCAGGAGTTCCTTCTGTGACCCGTTGGCCCTTTGGATCCAAAATGGCTTTCCCATTTTGACCCTTTGGATCCTTGTGACGAACCTTTTGGTTACCCTTTTGGATCCTTTTGGATCATTTTGGCCCATGTTTAGTCAAGGTTCCAGTTTTTTTTTTGTTTTCTTTTTTTGCCAAGTGAGTGGGTCAACGTTTGGGAGCATTTGAAGCATCTTTGCGCTTGACTTGAATGGTAAAGAACAGATGAGAACATCCTATTGTTCAGACCCTTGTCAGTGTGCTTTATGAGTGGCAACCGATCAACGTTTTAACTCTTGCTTTCCCTGATCCGAGGCGGGGTTGGGTGGTTGTGGGTGGTTGGGAGGCGGGTGGGGTGTGTGGCTGGTTGGGGTTGGGTGGGGTGGGGTAGGAAGGGTGTGGGGTGGGGTAGGAAGGGTGTGGGGTGGGGTAGGAAGGGTGGCGGCAGGTTCGCGGCAGAGGGTGGTGGGAGTTGGGAGCAAGTAGGTTAGCTGGCTCCGCTTGCCCATTAGCAGGGATAAGGGAGGAGCAGAGGTAGTAACTATATGAAGTCCTTAAGTCCTCCCGCGAATTCGGATCCGACCTGTTGTTTTTTCAGTTTTGGCCCATTTAGTCAAGATCGCAAAAGGCGAATCTTTGTGAGAGAGAGACAAGGTTGGACTTGTTCCGACCAATCCGCAACTTGACGCGTGGAAGCGTGCGTTCAGCTTCGACATGGCAAGCCCGCTCAGTTGTTTTGATGGCCATTATCTAACCATTGTTTGCTTGACGGAGCTGGTTCCCAGAAAGAATAGAATCAGCCACAAGACAACAGGATATCAATGTGGTGTCTACCAGTATCGATGGACCAAGTTTTGCAAGAGTGACGCGAGCTAGATTGCAAGCGCGAGGGAAGGTTGCGATGGATAGCGGCACAGCGGGGGATATGGGACACATATCTTGCACGCCATTTGAGCAACGGAGGTGGGTCCCTACTTCATGACACCTCCCTAAGACGAGAATTTATTTTGAACAAAATGCTTCACATTTGGGGCAACCCCACCCCTGATTAACACCAGATTCATTAATTAATCCGGGGGCGCCATTGCCAGCTTGGCCAACTTTGTTCGGTCACAAATAGCGTTGTAAATCTCTGAAATGGGGTCTACTGGGTTTAGAACTCATTCAAGAACAAAGGCTAGCAGCCAGGAAGACCAGAGCCTATGTTTCCACTTGAAACATCACCCCAAGCAAATCGGCCCCAATTGTCCAAACCATTCAGGTTTTGATCCATTTGGGCACTATACAGTACTCCCTGAGTTTCTGGGACTTTAGTCGCTTCATAGGACCATTTAGTGGTAGCCAAAGAGTTCGGACTTGTGGTTACCAATCCAATGCAGAGAAGCAAGCCATTGTCCCTCCAGTGCTTGAAGGCTACTTCCCTTACTCACATCCATTCCACATCCCTTGGTTACAACTTCGGATGTTGTTTGGCACATCCACTCCTTCGGAACTTCCCACCCCCCCCCCCCCCCGGCCCCCCACTCTCCGATGGTTCCGTTTCAGGATTTCATCTCCGGGTCTGTGGCCGACACCTCAGCCCTGCGGGAGCTCCTGGCAGACGGGTCCCCTCCGCCGGCCGAGGCGAGCTCGGTTCTCCCAAACCGCGAGCTTTTGACCGTGGTTCCACAGGAACCAGCATAGCCAATTTGGCACCCGACAGTTGAGGTTTTCTTTGGGTTGGAGATCTTGATTTCCTAGATGGTCAAATAGGGGGTCAGTGAGAAGGGGGCCGACCTAAACGTGATGCCTTTTGTAACAACTTTCACCACGCCTTGTGAATTTGGAGACCTCACAAAAACTCCGCAAAGACCTTTATCATGCGGGCTCTTGCAGATTGACTTCTGGCTGGAATAGCCACCCCGGTTATACCCCTTGCCTAGGGAAACCCATGCCAAAAATAAAGGAGACACTGGTGCGGGGCATGTCATGTGGGTTGCTAGGTTCACCACGGACAACAGCAAACCCCAACGAGGACCAAGTGGGCTCCCTTTGGTGGGAAAATGCTTCTCATTTGGGAAACATCGCAGTGTGCCCTTTTCAAGGCTGAGTCACCCATTGTTGGAGACAAATCCAAATGAGGTTCGGAACAGGATCCACAAAGAGCAGTCAGTCTGCAAAAGCAAAGTCCCGTACATAGGATATATCCTACCCAGTGGGTCGCGAACCACTTGCCACAGGGCACACTTGAACTGGTCAGTAGGTTTAGGGTCGAAGGTTGACCAAGTGAGAGTCCTTTTAGCCCTTGGACAATGTGGTTAAGCAGGTTTTTCCTTGCATGCCGAGGTGTTAGCTTGGACCCTGGACCGGGCTAAAACCCTCAGAACACATCACCCAAATACCAGCTGATTTAGAGGAGCCGAATCCGTGTTTTTAGGAGCTGTTTGGATGTTTCCTTCTTAAACCCCGTCATATTTGCAACGGGGTGTTCTCAAAATGGGGAACACCCTTCAACGGTGTGGTTTCCTTTGGTTTCCTTTGGTTTCCCGGAAGCAGGGCTCCCTATATTTCCCCTTCAAGGCTTGAACACCACCTGTTTGGCCAAAAAGCCACAGTGACTTTCCTTGTCATGGTGATGTTTAAAGGTAAAAGAACCTTCCACCCATTCACATGGAACCTGACAGGGGGTCCCTTGAAGCGAAACATGGTCCAAACCAGGACCCCGCGAACGTCAGCTTCCATGTTAGTTGGTGGGAGGGTAAAACCAACAACTTGCCAAAACATAGAAGCCGGTTAGCCTGTTGAAGGGAACCAGTTGAAGGGTCCATAAAAGTCTTGGTGATACGCACTGGACAACTCTGAGCATTTCGATGTTTGGAGCCTGGGGTTCCATGACTTGGACACCTAGCACTTTTTCAGTTTGGAAAGCAAGTAACATGGAACCTGACGTTCTGCACCAATCCCTTTAAAAGGAAACTGGTCTAAACCAAGAACCCCCGAACGTCAGGTTCCATGCGAGTTGGTATAGGGAACCTTCCACTCGCGAAGGACCCGGTGGATCTGACGGATGCCTTCGAGGAGCTCCAAGCGGAGCATCGGAAGCGGATGAAGACCTTGGTGGAGACCTCCAACAGCGCCCTGGCCCGAAAGGCTCAGCCCCCCTCCCTTTTCACCGCGCTCGGCGTGTTTTTGCTTTGTGTGTTTGTGTGTTGTTGCGTGTTGTGTTTAACTTGGTGGTTGCTTTTTGTAGTTTGTTTGAGGGTTCTGTTCATTCTTAGGTGGCTGCAACAAAGAAAATGTGTCGTTTCACCTGCCAAGCAATGGATGTTCATTTTATTTGAAGAGAATCTGATTGGGGATGGGTAGTTGTTTTTTGGATTTGCAAAGTCCACCTAGCTCCCACAGGTTTTGGGTTCTTGAGCCTTTTCGTTTTGGTTGAACATGGGTGTTTCCCCAACAGCAAACAGTTATACACGATTTTGTGGGGGCAAGTAAACATTACAACCCAACCCTAGGCTCCCATTTGAGTGAAAGACTGACTTCTCCACAACCAAACGTTGAAAGCGCTGAACGTACTTGTTTTGGCGTAGTGGTGTCTAGAACCAAGCACATGTTTAAACTCCGTTACTCTGCAAGCCATACAGGGCATGATTTCGCTGGAAAAATCCAAACGCTTCCATAGGGTTCTTGCAACAGGCTCTCGCGAGGGTCCCGCCTCCGATCCATTTGAGCACATGAGTTTCTGTATAGGACATGTCAGGCCCGCTGCTAAGCCAAATGCGATTGTGGGAAAGTGGGTTTGTTTAAAGGGATATCATTGGAGATCAAAGAGTAATCACCCACTTTCGATTCCAACAGATAGATACAAACACAGTAAAAATTTGAGCATGTACAAGCATCCAGTTGCATGTTGCATGCCTGTTGTTTGATGGGCACCGACTAAGTCATATCAGCCAACAAAGGCAGATCTTGCAAATCTCCACAGTTGAACACAAGCAATGTTCCTGGTTGGTGAGTTGATCTAGTTTTCTTGATTGCTGTTTGGTTGTGTGTGTAACCTTTTTTGTTTAAGAACACGGTGGGTTTGATCACCCCCCGTGAAGGTTCCTGGAAAAGAGAGTAGCTTTTAGTTTGAGGTAAACATGAACCAGAGTCCTTATGGTGTACCCTGTTGGTATACCCTTTGGGTTGGGGTTCCATGACTCCTCCGGCTGGCCTTTGTGGCCTAGGCATCATTGAGAGGAAGAACCACACCTGGAAAAGGATCAACAAGGGCTCCTCGGCCGAGGGCTGCAGCTCAGGGGAGGCAAGGGAGTGACCGGGCCGGCAAAGAATGCTTGTCCAGTTCCCTGTTTGAGATTTCAATCTGCAAGATCCGAACATGCCGGATGGATTATGCGTCTTTTTTTGGTTGCTTCCCCGGATTGCGGAGAATCGGGATCGCAGTTTGTGGCCAGAAGATTGGACAAATCGAAGAGGTGGACCCCACAACCGGGCGTGCAGCTTCGCATCACGGCTAATCGATCATTTGAGTCACGTCCACAAAGCGCGGTAGATGAAGCGTAGCAAGGGAAAGTCCCAACCGGGAATTGGTGCAGCGCTTAAATTCGATACATGGTTTTGGGGAGACCATTTCAATACCAAGTTGCCAATTTGAACCTTTCGCTTTCTGGTGTTAATCCATTTGAGCAAATGATATTGGTTCCACTCTGGGGCTGGGACGAGCGCAAGCCAATGATGGACTCCTTCCTTCCAGTTTGTGAATCGAAGTAGTTTGCAAAGATTGGCCGGCAAGTGGCTCGTTGTATGCTTACCAGATTCAGGGGTTCAGACATGAACTTCCGGATTTGGAACCCTGGACACGTTGTGGGTGGACATACCTCCCCATGCATATCCGGGACGCTTAGGCAGATGTGTTGATTCGGAACTAGCATGCACACAATTTAAGAGCTGGCCCTGGCCGTCAGCTTTTGGCCTCACTCTTCACTTTGGGTTGCTTTAGGGATGTGTTGGGGGAGATATCTTAAAATAGGGGTCGTACTCGCGCAAAAGCACGCCTTCTTTTAGCACACGGCCCTCGAAAAGCATATTTGTTTGAAAGTCGCCTTGGAGCTTGGCACGGGCCTTTACCAACAAGTGAGAAAGAACCTGGCTACAGTGGGCCCCTGGAAAACGGTCCAAATGGGGTTTGATTTTCCCCATGGGAAAGCAACAGGTGGCCGGCAATTGTCCATGGGCGGCACCATCCAAGCCGCCCCAGACATCCGATGCGCCTTGTGTTTTGGCTCCTTTTGGAGGGCTTCCAACTTGAAAATCGACTTCCAACACACTAAGTGCCCTTTTTGCGTTGCATGAGAATCCACTAAAGGTCTGGAAGTGTTCCGTGGTGGCAGCCCCCGACGGCTGGAAAAAGCTGGTCGCAGGATGTCCTTTTCGAGCAAAGAAAGGATGTATTGCCAGCTGATGAGAATCTGAATCGTTGCTTTGAGCATGTGGGTGTTGGATGTATCCTTCATGGAAATCTGCTTCAATGGTTCGCCAACGGATGCTGGATGTTCTGCTGGGAATGGCTTCCGACCCAGGGCCCAGGGGCCTATCTAAGGGTTTTTGTATTACACCCTGGGAATGCATTCGCTGGATATTGACCCCATTTAGGCACATTTCCGGGTAGAACCGTGTTATTTTGAACCATTCTGGGTCATTTCCCAAGGGTGTAATCTCAGGGTAGTAACACAAAAACCCTCAGAGCCTAAGGTTTGTTCGTCTCGAGCCTTCTTCGTCCAGAGCGATGCGGGCTGCAAGAGCACCCCACCATCCGCTGCCCGTCGAAATTGGCGCTGATCTTGAAGAGGTGCAGCAAGCGACGATGTGGTGCGGCTTTTTTGTACCCTTTTTGGGTGGCTAGCAAAACACAAAGGACAACCACCACTTTGGGTTCCCAACAAAACACACACACACATGTTTGGATCCGTGCCCTTCCTGTCCATGTAAAACCTAGAAGTGTTTGGGGCTGCTCTCTTCTCATGATCAAAGCGAGGCACAAACATACCTGGCTGTTCAATGCGTGGTCATGGCGTGCCTTTTCGAACAACATAGGCAGACAACATGTTCTTTCTTATGGAAAGCAAGTTCAAGCTAAACAGAGGCCCATGTGGCCCACATGCCCCTTCACTCGGGCTTGACATAGGGCTCGGTTTTGGGGATCCCTCAAGGACCAAACATGGGGTCAAGATCCTCACATTCATGCCTGGAGGTACGGAGGTGAAATGTTCATCCCTGTTTTCCTCGTCAAGGTCCCATGTCAAAGTTTTGAAGTGGGCTCGCCAGCCGATCCCTAGCTGGGATGAACATCCCGGTGCCTTTGCCTCATATTTAGAATGCTGCTCAAAAAATGAACATATGTTTGGGGGACCCCAGGATTTCCTCGATATACAGCACCTTGGTCAAAGTTCAACCCTAAACGAAGGATTTGTCCAACTTTTCTTTGTGCATCATTTTAGTCAGTAAGGGAAGTCCCAGGTTCATTCCAACTCATTCCCTACTCGCACCTCACTTCCCAAGTTCCTGGACTTTCTCATGCTTTTTGGAAGGCCGTGTTGGTCGTAACTAAAAAGGTTTAATACATTTTTGGTTTGAGAGGCCGTTTTGGTGGTAAATCAAAAGTAAGGACTTTTTTTGGCCCATCCACTCGGGAAGCGAGGCACCGGGAAGTCATTCCTAAGGCGAGGTGCTGGATGACGCCGCGGCGCTCTGCCGCCTGCGGATCGCCCAGAAAGCGCCGCTGCCTAGGACGACTTTTGACCAAACGCGCTGAAGTCGGCGTTTTTGCGATGCCTTCTTTTTGTTGGTTGGTCTGGTTGGTCTGTTTTTGGGAAACCCCCCTCCCCCCTCAGAATCGGGGACCTGCGGGATAGCACTTGGGAGAGATTCCTGTAAAGCCACTGCCCATGACAAAAGACACGCACACACTCATTTGGGCATGTCCCATCCAGGGGTCCGCGAGCCATGAAGAGTGTTGCACTGAGAAGCTCTCGTAGCCTGCGAGCAATCTAGCTGGATGCTCTGCGTTTGGGCTGGCCACGGTCTCCGTCGCCCTCCTTCTCTATGTGTTTTGTTCTGCGCGGGCTGAGGAATCACACAAATCTACGAGTGGGGCGGCCAGGTCTGGCTGCCAATGATCTTTTTCACCAAGTTACATCTCTCGTGTTTGACATCCACATGCCTTTTTCGAAGCACCTGCTGTATTACCTGGGTCTTCTTTGGTGTGTGGTTCTGCTTAGCTTTGCGGGCATTTGCGGCTACCGTCGTGGCGATCTGTCTGGATTCACTTTGCACTTTGCAGGCCCCTCCCCCTTCGGCAGCCTCGAACGCAGCCAAACTCCCAGTTGAAGGGCGGCTAACAATTGAACCCGCCAATTTTTGGCCAGAGGTGCTTTGCTTTGCTGTGAGGAACGTATCCACCATCATTTGGAGTGCGCACCTCCAAATTCTTGGTGGTTGCGCAGTTTGGAAAGTCGAGTTTTGGTTGGTGTTTGGGACACTTCCCTTACAAATTATTGGTTGCCGGTTTGCGTGAATTGTGGGAAATGGTCGTGGCAGATTGGGTTTAAGGACCCTTCAAAGTGACGAGGGTAGTCATGGGGATGGGAGCCCCATTTTGGTGTCACAGATTTCGGCTTATTTTGCACAAGCATGAGCTTTTGAAAGGGCTCGTCTCATGGAGCTTGTTGTGTCACTGGAGGACCGATGAAGAAGGCAACGTGGCAGACAGAAAAACAATTCTGAGGACTGATGAAGAAGGCAGGGTGGTCGGCCGAAAAAGTTCTAGTAGGCTCAGTCCCTCCATGACCAGTTTTGTTACCATCAAATCTGGCCGACGTCCAGAAAGTTGCAGTTTCATTGGACCTCTCAAAAGTGGTAGTTTCCTCCAAAACAGTGCCATCTTGCATGAAGGGTAAGAGGCAGCCCCGGCAACTATTCGCTTGATGGGGTCTAGCGATTTGAGCACCTAATCTTCAACTTTCGTTGCCCGCCTTGATTCCAACCCCCCTGATTCCCCAAAGTCAGACGGAAACCAAGTGGAGGAGGGGTGGGGGGGTTGGATGACCAAATGTCCCACGACGTTTGGGAACAAATGATATTGTCCAGGGATCATGTAGCCTATGAATTCTGCAGCGAACAGCCGAACTTGGACATTTGGCCAGCTTTACCTGATTCTTTCTGGCGGTCCTGTAGTGCATTTATCCATTTCTGCATGCCCATGTTAAAGGACGTTTCAACTTCATTTCGCCCATTTCTAGACTTAACTAGAGCCTTTTTGCCGTTATACATACCACCCGTTTCTTCTTTTGTTTTCACGTTCCCTTTTATAACAACAAGAAGATAACTGTTTAGACCAGACTTCAGGCCCACGTGTGGCTCACATTTGTCTTGCAGCGTGCCGCACAAATTTGCAAGGTGCAACTGCGTGCGAGTGAGCGCTAGGCAACGCCGAGGCTCAAAATGTGCTTTGGGTGCGGCCGACGCAGCTGGTGCCTGGTGCAAACTCACTCAGTTGTCCAAGAACGACATGTTGAAGCTGTTGGTTTCCCCCTGAGTTGTACATTCTCCGTTAAGGGCCCTTTAGACGAATGAGCTCACCAAAATGGGGGTAAAACGAGCTGAGGTGCCTTACTTGGCGATCCATTTTTAGTTTGGTTTTAGAGCTATTTCAGAGATTACAAATGGTAAGGCTTGGGCAGAGTGGGAGGGAGCTGAACAACCCATGCCAGGGGTAAATCACACGTACTTTGTTACAAGAAGATGGCTTGAACATGCCAGGCTAGCTGCTCAGTTCCCAAGCTTGAAGCTTTTTGTGCGTCAGGTTTCTTCATCATTCTCCACGTGCTTGTGTGGGGTTCTTTCTTTTACTGTAATCGCTGCCTCCTCTTCACTTTCAGCATGCAGCCACTCTCGCTCTCACTCACTCCACTCGTCATCATCCGCATGGCAAGCCAGTTGCGGGCCGTCCACGCAAAACAGGGCCTGCAAAAATTGCCACGACCCTTTTCCCAAAAAAACGGTTAATTTGTTTCCAACCCGGCCCAAATGGCCCATATTTAAACAGTCGGCCAGAAAAAGTGCGACAAAACACATCGGGCAAAAATAAGTGTTAAAATGATGTTACAGGTTGCAGCCAAATTAAAGTTCCACTTTGTAGCAAGCGACGAACCGCCAAACATGTTAAGGATGCCTGTGCCAACCCTCACTTGGTGGTCTGAGGCGCTGCATCTGCGGATGTCAGAGACGAACCGCCGCCAGGCCTTGCGGAGCGTTAAGGGTCGACCCGTCCACGACCGGACTCCAGGAGGATTTCGGCTTTCAGGGGTAGGCTTTGGAGTGGCCAAAATGTAGGTTTCCCGTTTTGGTGGGGTATGGGTTTCGATCTGGAAACTGTAGAAAGAGGTGTGCCTTTCTTGCGGGCCTTGCTGTCTATTCTCCTTCCGGGGTGATTTAGACATCGCATGTTGACCATAAGATTAGTTGCGTTTTGGTTTTATTTTTCCGTGATCCGTGACCAAGGGCCCGCTTTTTCAAGTGATTCATACAACAACTTGTCGTGGGCATGGGACTCCCACGTTGGCTTCGCTGGACAACAGTTGGGCGAAAGTAGACGGCCCAGTTCTTATTTTATCATCCTCTTTACTTCATCGCATGAAGGGATTTGCGCCATCTACTTTCACCCACTTGATTTTCAACGAAGGAACCCTACGGAGGCTTGGGCCACGTCTCGGCCCGGCAAGGCCCCCCCGTCGCTCGCCGTGGGCAAAGCGCCCCACGCAAGGAGAGTCCAGGGAGGGGGAAATGGATAGGCTACTCCCCGTTCGCAAGTGGGTTCGTGTTTTTCTTGAGGCTCGATGCCCCTTTTCAGCCCGCGTGAAAGCCCTTGTTTTTGGGGTCTCCCTATTTTGACAAGTGCCCAAATGAACGGCTTTTTGTTGGTGTACGTCTTCAACAGCCCAAAAGGTTGACTTGCTGTTCCCGGGCCTTTTGGACAGGCGGCGCCCAAAAAAGTCCTCAAACAGGGGCGCTGGGATCCATGCACGTCTCACCTGTGGGCTTGACGGATCAGGCGCACAAATGGAACGGGTGTGCCTTTGTTGGGAGGATACTGGCTTTGGCAAGAGAAGACAACGAGAAACCAAAGGGAAGCTACCCTTCTTCTGGGTCCCCCAATCCGAACGCATGGACGCACGGAGCAGATGAGGCGTTTCTTGATCCCGTTTCTGCGGGGTATTGGGAAATTGTGTTGGAACATCCACCTGTGCGTTGGGTCACCCTTCCCAGTCAACGAGATTCGGGGCCAGGAGGCGGTGAGGCCTGGCTCTCAGTGTTTTTTTTTTGGTTGGGGGGGGGTGGAAATGAACAGGAAGTTGTTCTTTTTCTTGAGGGAGAATAAAGCAGACTTTTTTTGTTTGGGGGGGGTGTTGGGAATGAACCGGAAGGGGAACTTAAGGAGATGGTTCGTAGTGGTTCCTGCAGCTCCTGAGCTGAGACGCAGCAAGTCAGTATGTTAGTGTGGATGGACAATTCCGGTAGTGGGTAAGTGGTTACCATCCGAACTGGGTGCTATTTTGTATCCATCCACAGTACTGCCAACCAGCTCGAGCAAATATGCAGGGAAGGCTGGACCACTTTTCCAGCCACCCTCGATGTTCCTCGTTTAATTGTTTTGTTGTGGGTTGGTTCCCTTGCACACCAGCCAGCAGACATGGGTCAAGCTCCTTTCAGGAGAAAGGGCCGTAACCCACCAGAAAGGTTCCCCTTCTAAGGTTCCGTCGGAACCTTTCTGGGTGGGCGGGCCCTTGTTTCACGTTGTTTCTTATGTGCGATTTCCACATTGCAATGTTTGGGCCAGACATCGGCTTGAGGAGCGACTTGACACACCAATGTAAGCTATCTGAGAGCCCCATATCTTTGTGCCAATTGTTGCTCTGGGGCTAAAACAAGAACAGGGTTCAGATTCCGAGCCTTGGAGATTTCTCATTTCCGGTTTGTGAAGTTTAGCCATCCAGACCTTTGGAAAACGAGTCAGCTGCGTTTTTTGGAGACCTAGTGATAGAAGGGGGGTCCCGGCACCATACAGATACCTATATATATATATATGTATATATATATATGTATATGCACATATATGTTTTTTGATACCTCCAAAACCCATACCTGAAAATAGCCTTGACCATTTGCTCGAGGTTCCGTCAACAACATTGGCAGTGTGTGGTTCATTTGGAAGAGACATGGGGACGAGCTCTAGATTTGCCGCAAGCAGCAAGGGACTCTTGGGGAAACTTGCGCAGTTTCAGGTAACCCTTTTTACTTCATTCGCGTTTTTGATTGGCGGTCTGGGGGTGTGAACTTCTAGAGGGTACAGGGAAAATCACCCCAACCTCCAACCAGCAAGGGGAAGCTGCTAATCTGTTGGCGTCAATTTTTTGGCCGCTGAGTTTGCAGGCAATCTCGGCCCAGCTCAGCAGAGAGCCAACCCCAGGAGAGCTGGTTCTCTCGGGAAGTGATCGGGGCGGTTGCGAAGTCACCATCGTCACCCAACAAAGAAGTTTCTTTCTTGGGGGTCCCTTGTTTCGGTTGGTGAACGCATCGAATGCACGTATTGAACAAGTAGATGCAAATAGTTAGCCAGGAACTTGTCAGACGCAGAGGATGTAAGGATGTCAGAAGCGTCAAGACATGCGGCCACTCTATACCGAGTATAGAGGGTACAACACCCCGACTTTGGCCAAGGTGGGCGCCATGTTCGGGTCATTTTCAGTCAGGAGGGATGCCCTCGATGTGGCCGTGCCGTGGTTGGCCGAGCATTGGTGCGGAATCCTAGCCTTATTGTCATTTGCATGGTTCCACGTCATACTGTTAAGGCCGTATCCCCCAATTTGTACCAAAGCTGTAATATACGACCCTTTCCGTCCTTCTTTAAGACTCAACTGAGCCCCTCATTTTCAGAGGGCTGCCACTGCCACCTTAGAAGTCTGGAACTGTTGCCTCATTCAAAGGGTGTTCCCTTGGACTGCACAAGCATCGGTGACTGCCAAGTGGCTGCAAAGCTGTCCCTGAAAAGTGGGCTGGGAAGAAAAGGCGCTGAACTGCCAGGCTTACCGCACCGCTTCGCAGTTTTACCATGTCGGGTTTCCTTTATTTTCCTACAACCAGCAAAAACATATTGTTGCAGGGTGTCTAAGTCTGTCTCCAAGTCAGACGAACAAGAAATCCTGGCTAACATGACAGGGTGCACACCAATGACAGATGGCAGACCTGGCAATGAAATATAGGCGGCCTTAGGGCTTCCTCCTGTACATCAGCCGCCTTAAGGCTTCTTCCTGTACATCAGCCAAGGTTCCCAAAGAACAATCTTTCTCACGCCTATTTGGTTGGATCTTTGGACTTAACTTTTTGGGGAACAGTGGAGTTTCCAATACTTGTCGGCACATGCACTGCAATGCTTTGCCCGCCTTTGGGCCGTTTCAAAGGACGTTTGAGACCTTCATTTGCAACATGTCTCAGCGACAGGGTGACTGCCGGCATGATTTGTTCGAACAAATGGGAGTGTCTGAAAATCAGATTTTGTTTTTTTTTCTGAAATGGCTGTTTTCTTTTGGTTTTCCTTCAAATTCCAACCGAAAAGGCGACCGCAATGCATTTTGAGCCAACCAAGTAATCACTGAGGCCCCTAACAATCAAATCCGCCCGCCGCCCCAAAATAAGCAACAAGCTCTCCCAACAAAATATAATTTTCACTATTAGGGGGAAGTTCGGGTCTGTTCTTCGGTCCTCTTCGGCGCTCGTCCAAATGAGGTCTGCCCTTCCCACCCTTCTTAGTGGTTCATTTCGGCAATTTCCGAGTAAGGAATGTACACAGCAGAAATCAGTGACATGTTTTTGCATTCTTAGCATGGGTTTAGCAATGGTTTGTGCTGGTTCTGATACGAGTGGAAGTGGGGGAAATCCCTGTTTTAGTTTTGGTTTCAATTTGGCTGGCTTAAGTTGAGTGTTTGCGGACTTGGAATTTATTGGGATTCTGGACACATATTCGTTATTAGGGAGAAGGGTTTTCGTTTTCTGGACGCCCTCAGTTCACACTGAGGTGATGCACCTGAAAACCTGTGGAGTGCCCACACGTTCTCGGGGTGATCCCTTCGGGCGCGAGCTCCTGGCTCCCCCGCGGCTGCCTAGGTCTGGTTGTTTGGTACCTGTGCAAAACGGTTTTGTGGGGGAACACCACGCCGTTCTGGCCGGGTTTAAGGGATGTGGGGATGATCACCACTTACATATGTAACGAGCAAAAGAGCGAAAGGAAGGCTTCCAATCACAAGAATTCCCAACAAAACAAAGGTGAACGGATCCAACTAAATGGCAGGATCCAAGAAGTGGTCGTATGCTGAGGGATTCTCAAAGCGTTGAACCGCCGTTTGGCGTGTCAGAGGCCCAAGACAGGGGTTTG